TCCACCAAGGCCGCGCAAATCCGCATGGCACTGCGACATCACGAACGTAATTTCGCCACACGGTCCGCCACACACTAGAAGCAAACATATCACACGATACCACCAATCATCCCGCCCACCAGCGAAACGCCGCGTTTACGCCAGCATACATGTTTCACGCTCCCCAGCGGCACGGCGCCACGCAAGCGCACTTCCCACCAAGGCCGCGCAAATCCGCATGGCAGTGTGACATCACGGAAAAAATTTCCCGACACCGCGCGTCACAGACTAAAAGCAGACGTATCACATAATACCACCGATCATCCTGCTCACCAGCGATTCGCCGCGTTTACACCAGCATGTTTCGCGCTCCCCAGTGGCACGGCGCCACACAAACGCACTTTCCACCAAGGCCGCGCAAATCCGCATGGCACAGCGACATCACGAACGCAATTTCGCCACACGGTCCGCCACACACTAGACGCAAACATATCACACGATACCACCATTCATCCCGCTCGCCAGCGACACGCCGCGTCTACGCCAGCATGTTTCGCGCTCCCCAATGGCACGGCGCCACGCAAACGCACTTCCCACCAAGGCCGCGCAAATCCGCATGGCCACGCGACATCACGAACCTAATTCGCCACATATCACACGATACCGCCAATCATCCGGCTCACCAGCGACACGCCGCGTTTACATCAGCATGTTTCGCGCTCCCCTGTGGCACGGCGCCGCGCAATCGCACTTTCCACCAAGGCCGCGTAAATCCGCATGGCACTGCGACATCACGAACGTGTTTCGCCACACGGTCTGCCCACACACTAGAAGCAATCATATCACACTAGAAGTGAACACTTCTGAGTCCAGCTCCGCAACGCTGTTTCCCGTACATTTGCACTACAACTGGCCACTTCTGCGCCCAGCTCCGAAAAGCTCTTTCCCATACTACATTTGAACTACAAACTGGCCACTAAAGCTCTTTCCCGCACTACATTTGCACTACAAAATGGCCACGTCTGAGTCCAGCTCCACAAGTGACGCGCCAAGTCCCCAAGATGAGCGTTTCGTAAAAGACTTCCTCCAAAAGTGAAGCGCCAAGTCTCCAAAACGAGTGTTTCGCGCGAGACCTCCAAAAGTGAAGCGCCAAGTCTCCAAAACGAGCGTTTCGTACGAGACTTCCTCCAAAAGTGAAGTGCCAAGTCTCCAAAACGAGCGTTTCGTACGAGACTTCCTCCAAAAGTGAAGCGCCAAGTCTCCACAACGAGCGCTTCGTACGACAGTTCCTCCAAAAGTGAAGCGCCAAGTCTCCAAAACGAGCGTTTCGTACGACAGTTCCTCCGAAAGTGAAAAGCGCCAAGTCTCCAAAACCAGCGTTTCCCGCAAGACTTCCTCCAAAAGTGAGCAAGTCTCCAGAACCAGCGTTTCGTACGAGGCTTACTCCAAAAGTGAAGCGCCAAGTCTCCAAAACGAGCGTTTCGTAGACTTCCTCCACAAGTGAAGCGCTTCTTCTCCAAAACGAGCGTTTCGTACGAGACCTCCTCCAAAAGTGAAGCGCTTCGTCTCCAAAACGAGCGTTTAGCGCAAGACTTCCTCCAAATCTCCAAAACGGGCGGGTTGCTCGGGCACAAACGCGATCGACGTTTCACCACATGTTTGAGCACTCGACCCGTGCGATCCCCGCAGAGGTTTGCTCGGGCACAAACGCGATCAACGTTTCACCACACGTTTGAACGCTCGACGCGCAGGATCCCCGCAGAGGGTTGCTCGGGCACAAACGCGATCGACGTTTCACCACACGTTTGAGCACTCGACACGCGCGATCCTCGCAGAGGGTCACCCGCGCCCGCTCAAAATTCGCATTTCGCCACACGTTTATGCACTCGACACGCACGATCCTCGCAGAGGGTCACCCGCGCACAAACCAAATTCTCCTTTCACCACACGTTTGAGCGCTCGACGCGCACGAGCTTTTCACCACACGTTTGAGCGCTCGACACGCACGATCCCCGCAGAGGGTCACGTTTCGTAAGCTCCGGCCGGACC